TCTTTTATTTCGGTAATTCCACTCATTGCCGGAAACCCAAACAGAACATGTGCAATAAGAGCTATGTACGTCTCGTTAACAATGGTGGCATCAGTCACACAATGGACGAGATCGAGGAGCCAGTAGAACAGAGCCAGCAGTGTACAGGCAAAAACGCATTTGTGTCTTAGAAATTCAGACATCACTTTGTATTTACAGAGGAGAGGGACGGGCGTGTAGTGGGCGTGGTGCGTGGAGGGTACGCCGACCACCCACTTCTCCCGACAAGAGATATAAAAAAATAACAAATATAAAATCGCCTACAAGTTAAATGTCAAACCAAAGCTATTGGCAATGGTGAAAACAAACTGCATAGGCTCATGATATCTGTACTACAGTCCTACCTGAGACATGAAGGGACACACACACACACACCAACACCCACACCCACCTTCATCATCATCATCAACCTGAGAATGCACGGACCACGTCTCTTTCCGTACTGCACGGACACTGCCGTCTTCCTGCACGCCGTGTGTGGACGGTGTTTTCTTGTGTACGCTGCGTAGACTGCGCTTCCTCCTTTACGCCTCTAAACCAGAACTAACACCAGGACTAAAACCAGTACGAAGGAATGAAGGAATAAACCAAGTCTAAACCAGGTCTAAACCAGGTCTGAATAATATGACACCTAACAGTAGGGTGGACATAATTTACAGCAGTACTGATCTCCTATAGAAAGCATTTCTCAATCAATAATATTTTTCGTATGGATAAGGAAAGACAGGTCTTTTTATTGTCTTTTAGCAGATAAAACATCTTATGTTAACATATCCTAGTCTTTGCGACTCTACAACAAACAAAAGCCTGTTCATGGAGACTTGGGCTCAACAGACAATTTGAAGAGAACAAACAAGAATTTGCAGGCTGTGGTTGGTACATTCATGTCGTTTTAAAAAGCATGACAATATCAAGTAATCCAAAGTATTCAGATTATGTTACTCACTTTAAGTAATTTAATGGATTATGTTACAAACTACATTTTGGGGTATGTAATCTGTAATCTGTAGGGGAATACATTTTAAAAGTCACCTTCCCAACACTGATTGGCACTTTTTTGTAACTGCTTTATTATAAATTACTGAGCTCATAATAATGCATGTACTGGGATTGTATTTTTGTATTTTTCTCTTGCTGTTTCACTCGGCATTCATAAGATAAACATTAAATCTGAAAACAACTGTCTCGTCAATGAATCAGAGTTTAGTTCACTGTCAAGTTGGAGACTGCAAATGTCTCAGTGAGGACAGTACAGCTGTCACTCAAACCTGCTGCCAAGGCTAGCGGAGCAAACCTCAGGGAAACAAGACCACTCACTGTTTATATCTTGATTTACAGGCAAAATAGTCAAATAAAAACACAAGCATCATGTGCATTTTAAGATGAGGATCATGTACATTTTAATCTGAGAATCCCGACAGCAGCAGTTACAGAGAGAAGGGCCACGATTTTTTAAGAGAAGTTCACTGGAGCCAGACCTGGACGTACCCACTTCGCACCCATGCTCACTTCCTGTTTGGAAAGGTTGCAATTATAGGCTCTATTCACGCTTACATCACAAACTAGGAAACCGTTTGGGAACAATGACAATTTCCGGTATAGTTACCGACTGACACTGGACCTTCACTGTTGTGTTTTTTTATGCATTTATTTTATTTTCATGTGAACTGTATGCTTTAATAAGGTGTTGTTTTTTTGTTTATATCTGAAAATACACTGAGCTCACCGACCGACTGATACAACCCAGTGAAGTAAATGTAATCAGCGGTAAAATGAGGTCTGCATACGTATGTGCGGTTTGAATCATCTTGAATTTGACGCCTCATCTCTTCTAATCACATGTACCCAGTGCGCTCAGAGTTGTGCGTAAGTGGGGAAACGATAAAAACTGAGGTATGGTTGTAACTGTTGAGTAGCCGAACGTAATGGAAAACTACAATAACATGGAGATGAAGAAAACTGGGCCATTTTCAGTTTTTCCCCGATTTTGTCAGACTTACTACCACGAATTAGCCTGATTTATCAGCCGGTTTCACTTTGTGGAAACTGTCTGACCTCACAGCATTAGGAATCGTTAGCTCGATGATAGGCAGGTACTTTTTTAAAATTTAACCACTTGCTGCTATTTGGTCATGACATATGTACCATATTTTGCGCACTATTAGGCGCTCTGGATTATAAGGCGCACTGTCATTGTATTTTGAAACTTTTTTTCACAAATAAACCACACCGGACTATAAGGCGCATTAAATAGAACACAACAGTTGGATGGGTTAGTGGGACTTTGGTGCGTTCACAGTGACTCTGGGCTTTGTTCAGTTGTGGCGTGTTGGGAGGGTGCTGTCTGGGACCGCTGGATTGTCGGCGTGTTCACAGTGACTCAGTTGTTCATTTGTGTCTAGAAGTGGCACATTGGACTCGTTTTTTCGGTTCATTCCTCTGTTCCGTTCCTCGTCCACGTGGAGTGATGAGTGTGGCTGTGGGTGTTTTTGGCTGTGCGGTCGCTGTCTGCTCCGTGTGTGTTTGCGTGCGCTGCAGGTGGTGTGGCTTTGTAGTTTACTGAAGTCGTGCTGGGACACCCGAGTGGATTCGTGTATAGGGTGCTCTGGATTGTGGGGCGCGCGGCCGTGTATTGATGGGGTTGGAGGCTATAGTGCAGAAAATACGGTAATGCGTCACTACCAGAGCTAACTGGTATGTTAAGCTTTTCCCAAATCCCGTAGGAAGAAGGGCAATAACGTCTTTCCCCTTGATAAAATTCATCAAACATTCTCTTTGTTCTAGCTTTTAAATCCTCGATCTCGGGAATCATTGCCAACACAGAATGTCTGACTTCGTCTACATCCATCTCAACTGCTTTGTTTACTGTTGTGCTGTTCCAAAAAAGGGACCCAGTTACGGCTTCACAGCTTTTCGCTGATTGGCCAATGCGTGGGGTACAACTTCCGGGGTTCTTGCAAATCGTCTAGTGTATTCCGATTCCTGACCTCGTCGCAGGAGAGAAGTGCAAATGAGCGGAGGCACAAGCCAAACGTCTTCCCGGTTTGTGACGTAAGCGTGAAGAGAGCCTGTTTAGGTAATAAAAAGCAAAGAATAAAATATCCCGTTTTTTTAATAGAAAAATCTATAGTTTTCACCTCCACAACAACGTGATTTTTGTATTATTGTTTGCCAGTTCATATTTCGGTCTTCTCTCAAACGTTAACGCTCTTGGAATTGTTTACACTCTGAATAAAATCCTACTTTTGAAACGTGTATTGCAAATCTAATCAAAATACTTGCCAGAAAAATTGCAATCTTTTCCAAAACGGTGCAGCGGTGGCATAAATCCAACATGGCCGTCTGTTTTCAGAGCAAGCGTGTGACAAAAATATATGACCTGACCTTTCTCTTTGTATTATGCTTGTGATGACATGAACTCGAACAGCGGCGAGGTCACTACAACAATAATGTGTTTACAGGCAGATTTAACCTTGTGTCTGTGCAGTGATATGAAACAGCACATGTTCCTGCACATATAGACAGCTGTCACAGGGAAATACAAGACAAGCGGGGGAGCTGGTGCAGGTAAGTACACAATTAAAGGTCCGTAGAATGCTCATCTCCACGGTGACGTTATTGCTTTTCTTCGAATGTTCCACTGTATGGTCTCTCTAATAAAGCTGTATTTCTTTATTGTACTTGAGCAGGGCCTGCGGACTTATCAGTGATGTTCAGAAGCGCCACACTTGAGTCTACACAAAAGGACACATATGCATTTGTAGTGTTATTGGCCTTTAAACTTGCTTACATCTGGGTTTCTGCGTTTGATTTCCAATGCTTAGAGCAGGACACATTTTTAAAGGTCCTACATTATGCAAAATTGATTCTTGAGAGCTTTAAGCCATGTTACAATGTTGTTACCGCATTAAAAACATACCTGGAGTTGTGTTTTGTTCATTCACATGTTTGAGTATCCATTGAGTATTATTAGTCAGTTTACATCTCCTAAAATCTAAATGCTCTGCTCCACTTTGTGATGTCATGAAGCGGTAGTTTTCAAGCTACTTTTTACCTTTAGAGTGAGGAAAAAACACAGCTTCACTGTAACCGGGAGGGTGCGCCATGTAACTTTCCCGGAAGTCATTGGATGGATCGACAAAGCCTGAACCTCAATGACAACCGAAACCATCCTGTCGGGATTCAAAAAGGCCAGAATAATTTTAACTGGAAATGATGCTGAGTGTGACGACAGCTACACAGAAGAGGAAGCGGCGCTCCGTTTACATCATGGATCTGTGGTTTATCTCCAGAGCTCGTGCAGAAGTGACACGGACGATGAAGAAATCAATGGATTTAGTAATTTAGAGTGAGATTGTGAGTTTGGGAAACTTGTGTTATGTTGTTTATGCTATAGTTATCTGAATAACTGTTACGCCTATTCAGCTTGTTGTTCTCTGTTCTGTTGTTATTACAAGAACTTGCCATTCAAGATGAAATGTCAGTTCCTGGTCGCTGATTTTATAAAATACATTTCTCCAAATAGTCTGACTTATAGTCCGGTGCGACTTATATATTTTTTTTTCTTCTTCATTGTGCATTTTTTGGCTGGTGCAACTTACACTCCGGAGCGACTTATAGTCCAGAAAATACGACAAGATAACATTTTATTTCAGTTATCCTTTGCCCCTGTATCTGTACTTTTACTTAAGTAGCAAAATTGAGTAGTTCATCCACCACCAGCAGTCGCTAACAGAAATGATCAGGTTCAATGTTTGTGCATTTACTTGTGAATTTCCCTTTTAGATATTTGAAGGTAAAATACAAATGTAATCAACAGGGAAAATTAGCTCTTGTCTTAATCTAGCAGTATGACAACATCAAACTCTAGAATCTGAAAACCACCATCGCGTACACCCCGCATAACACCCAACCAATCATGACACAGAACACACACTGTGGTACCACTCTGTGTGACTGACCTGTGCTTCGTTGTCTTTGAGCAGGCGCTTGGTCCTGGCTCCTCCCGGATCGTCCGTGATGTTGAGGACCACCACGCTCTTCTTCTCCCACCCGATAAACGAGCCGTCCGTCATGCCCTCCACCATTGCTAAGAAGTCCTCGTACCCGTGGTGACGCGTAGTGACCACCGAGAACGCCGTCCAATCGTATTCCTCGAGCACTTCGAAAATGACCTCGAGCTGCAGCAGCGTGGAGCAGGTGAACTGGAGGTAGATGGATCCACTCTCCTGCAGGAAACAAGGAAAAACACAAGGCAAGGTTGCATTATAGGAAGTGTTTTTAAAATTCTATATGGTAATTCAAACTTTCAATCATTTAAAAAAAAAAAAGTTCTTTACTGAAGAATGGGGGTGGGAAGCATTGCACAGCTTTTCTAGTGAAGGGTCCGTCACCTGCTTGTCTTCCTGGGGATGTCATTGCTTTGTCTAGAATGTTCCATGGTAGAGATTAAAGCTATCTCAAGGGAGACAACCATATTACAGGTCAGATCTATGGAGAGGCAACCCTATTCACAAAGAGAATTATTGTATTGTAGACCAATAAAACATTCCTGCACACTTGCAAAATGTGAGATTTATTAGGACATACAACGTTTGGGTGAATATATACAATGGCTACATATATTCAGATACTCAGATATGATCTGTCACTCTTGGGTGCTTGCCACACCCTATTTAAGATGGCCACCTGAGCTCTCACTCCATTTGCCTGATGAAGTCCTAGTGCCGAAGCGTTGTATGTCCTAATAAATCTCACATTTTGCAAGTAAGACTGTGTATGGGATTTTTCTCCATGTTCTTGGACTGCTCCTTCTCCTCCAACACACACGTTTCAAGAAATTGATGTGAGAAGTTCTCATTCTTTTATATAGTAAGCAATAGAAACACACATAATGGATACAGGCTAGATGTGTTTAATGTTATACCACGGAACACGCCAGGCAAAGAAATAATATCTCCATGGAGACGAGCAGGTGACAGACCCTCCACCACTAAACTTGTGCAATGCACCAAAGATGTTCCTTGTGTTGTTGTTGTTTCTATTAGTATGATTGCACTGATGTCAATACAGATACTATGTTCCATTATAAATAAACATAAAATTAACTTCTTGGGTTCTTTTTAAAGACAATACAGTGGGAGATGTATTTACTAGAGGTGTAACGGTACACAAAAATCACAGTTCGGTATGTACCTCTGTTTTGAGGTCACGGTTTGGTTCATTTTCGATACAGTATGGGAACAAAATGCAAAACCATTTGCTTGTTGTTTATTTGTTTTTATTAAACCAACAATTAGTTTTAACATTATACAAATGGGAAAATAAAATAAATGCAAAGTGCTGCTTGGTAACACTAATAAGTTAAATAAAATATTCTCAAATAAGAAACAGATGTATGAAATATTATAAAACATAAATTCCTTGTAAACAGTAAACAAAACTTTTCAAAAAGTAAAGTGCAGTACTAACAGTTCCAGCATGAACTTTTACTCAATCTTCATATTTCTGGCCAGAACAAAACAACTTGTCCACATTGTCTGTCCTAGTGAAGGAGTATTTTCAGCCTCTGGGGATGTTGCAACTGCAGCAGATCTGCACTTACTGCAGAGGTCACAGGTATGGGGAGAGGAAATTCTGTGCCAGTGGAAGGCAAAAGTGAAGACTGCAGTACGATGACCGTAGTTTTGTGAGGATTCACTTGGTTCGGAGGAACGTAGTCAAGGCAGGGGGCAATTGTTGTTAAGGCAGCCGCCCTAACTATAAAGCACCCCACGAAACACTACCACCCCAATCACGGACCAGTTCTCTTGTGAATATTAAAGAGCCGAGCCTTCTGTGGAGCTGCACATGTAGTGGTGGAATGTAAACACACACAAATTGCGTGAATTCACTTGTGCACAGCCCTGCACCAAACCATTGACATGTTTCGGCTGCTAGTTTCCTGATATCAGTGGCCTCTCTGTTCGAGTGTTTGAACTTGTTGTTCTCTGATCCAATGACCTGTGCCCGTATTAATCCATAATGTGGTTATTTCAGGACAGTATAGGAAACTGGGCATGGGACATCCTCTACCAGAGACCACCGGTCTGAATGATCTAATTGGTTCATCAGACTGCCCACACCCACAGGAAGTAACAACAGTTGATATACAACATGTCACCACCAACACCAGTTCTGAAAATGGCTCAAAAATGGCTCACAGCCAGCAGCAGAAACATGTCAACAACGTAAATACATCTCCCACTGTACTGGTTTTAAAAAGAACCCAAAAGAACAAAAGAAGACTGAATGAATGTTCAAACATTCAACAGAATGTTTTGAAAATGTTTACTTGCCCCAAATAAATAAATGCTATAATACATAATATAATAAAATAATACAACTTTTTTTACAGTCCACATTGAAAAAATTCTCCTGCAGTACCAACCTGTTGATAATTTGCCGTGGGCAGCTCCATTG